GGGATGAGTCAGACGAACATGAATAATTCACAGTGACTCTGCAGAACAAGACTAAACACTGCATTAACATTCCTTATTTAAAGCCACGACAGAGAGTGAAGAAATGTGAGGGAATCCGAGGAGAACCGTGTTTTGAGAAAGAGAGAAACCCCATTTACACCCGCTATTAACGGCCATACATTAAAGGAATAGTTCATCCACAAATGAAAATCCAACATCCAAGATGTACTGCAGATGAGTTTTAGTGTTACATCACTTGCTGATGGGTGCCGTCAGAATGAGAGTCCAAACAGCTGATAAAAACATCACAGTAATCCACACCACTCCAGTCCATCAGTTACTGTCTTGTGAAGCGAAAAGCTGAAACAAATCCATAATTAAGAAGTTTTTAACAGCAAACCTTTGCTTCTGGCTAAAATATGAGTCCATAATCTAGTCATAATAACATTTCCTCCAGTGAAAAAGTCCATCTCCTGTTGTCTCTCACATCAAAATCCACCCACAGGTTTGTTTAGAACTGTTTTGGATTGGCTGTGCAGATTTCTCTCCTGATTCAGACAACTTTTTCACTGGAGGAAGCACTATTAGGGATTATGGACTCGTATTTTAGCCAGAAGGATTTGTTTCTTACAAACACACAGCTTTTCACTTCACAAGACATTAACTGATGGACTGGAGTGGTGTGGATTACTTGTGGATTATTGTGATGTTTTTATCAGCTGTTTGGACTCTCATTCTGACGGCACCCATCCACTGCTGAGCAAGTGATGCAATGCTACATTTCTCTAAATCTGACGAAGAAACAAACTCATCTACAGCTTGGATGGCCTGAGGGTGAGTAAAGTTTCATTTCAGGGTGAACCACTCCTTGCTAAATACAGACATAAACGGAGTCCAAGCCCTGGCACCTGTGTGTTGTGTCCGAGCTCAGGCGACCTCTCACTGTCAGAGCTGTTGGCTCGTTCGCTCAGCGGTTTGGAGAGCTGTCGGTCTTTCACAGGAGTGCTGCGCTTATGGGGTGTGTGTCCTCCATCCAACCTACACACACACACACACACACACACACACACACACACACACACACAACAAATCAAACACACACACACACACACACACACACACACACACACACACACCCACAGACACACACACACACACACACACACACACACACCATCAAACTTGGGCTTTGTGTTCTCTGCATTATTTGACCTTGTTTCTAACCTAGTAACATTATAAATGACATAACTACATAAGAACAGTAGTGCACATTCTATTCTATTATATTACCTGGGTGACGGCATGGACTGAAGCTCATTCTTGCTGGTTTTTAAGGGTGTTCGTGGTTTTTCAGCCACAGACACGGTTATAGAGGGTCCGACATCACTGAACAACTCCTGATCATTCAGTTCCTACAAAACATAGACATATTCAACACAAAAGAGCATTAACACATCATAACAACTGAAAGAATTCAAATCATGCAAAATCTCAAAGGCAAATGAGTGTTATACAGATTGAGCCCAGGAGTATTTGGACAGCGTGTAAATGTGATGATTTGTGCATTTAACTTTAAATAAACTGGTGTTTTAGTTTAATAAACACCTTTTTTGTCAGATGTTTTACTTCTACAATCTTTCTTTAAAAATGACGTGGTTAGATTTTTTTCTAAAATAATGTAAACATATGCATGCATTTTGAAGCAACTGGAACTAAAACCATAAAAAAACTAACATTTTTGTTACTTGAAAAAAAAAAAAAAGAAGTAAAAAGTAAACATTTTATTTCAGCTACATTTTCGTACTAAAACAAAATAAAAAATAACAAATCAAAATTAATAAAATCTATATAGACATTTTGGAAAAAAAAAAAAGGCAAAACAAAATTACTAAAACTTTAACCAACATTAAACTGAAAACAGAAAATATAAAACAAAATCGTAATGCATAAATGGCACTAAAATAAGAATGTTTTGACTTTTGCTTTAGGCGCTGCTGTATATATGTGTGTGAATCTGTAGTGCAGCGTCTCACCAGCGTGTCGGTCTCAGACAGCGGCTCATCCAGGTTGCGGCTCCGTGAGTGTTTGAGTTTATCTGACGCCGGCTGCTCGCCCTGCTGGACACACACAGGAACTACAATCACTCACTCCAACTAAACACTCACACACACGTCTGAGGAGCAGGGTCTGTGCATCAGGCTGCATGATCTGGACTGCGGCCTGTAAACGATCGAGCCCTGGCAGAGCTGGAGGTTCATGTTCGACACGCAGCGAGCCGCCCATCCTTTAAAGTGCCCCTATTATGCCATTTCCAATATTTCCTTTCATGCAGTGTGTAATGTAGCTGTATGTGAATGCAAACGATCTGCAAAGATGTAACGATAAATAAAGTTATTGTCTCCCAAAAGAAAGAATCGACTCTGAACAGCCTAAATGAGTCGTTAGTAATTCGAATCCCACTTCCGTGATGGCTACACGTCACGGGGAAACACATTTGCATAATGCTTGTTACATTTGCATAATGCGGCCACGAACAACTTGACCCTGCCCACAAACACGTCATTCTACTGACGACTGCTTCTCTAATCTCGGGGAGTTCAACGCGGGATTCACAAAACACTTGCTCTTGAAAATTGGCTCAATACCCAGTTTATTTGGACCAGATTGCTCCTCTGAATATCAACCTGTAAGTATGATAAATAATAGATGTTTATATTTTGTATTGAGCGTTCAAAATACGGAACTATGGCAATGTGCTCTACGCGGTAGACCAATCACAACAGACTGGGCCATCTGACCAATCAGAGCAGAGGAGGCTCATGGAAAGGAGGGGGTTAAAGACACTGAATCTTAGAACTGCTTCGGACAAATTA